ACAAGACTGACGGTCCTTCCGATCGGTCTTTATAAATTAAAACCGCAGTCCGGTCCGTCTTTGTGTAAGACTGATGATACAAAGACTAAGACGGACGCGTAGGACCAATTATCATCTTTAGGGGTACGACGAAACCCCGAAACCCGAAATCAGCCGAAACTATATTAAAAACATAGTAAGGGATATGACGTAATTATTTTGAGGGAGTTTCGGCTGGCATCTTTACTTGACGTTAAAAAGAACGCCTTCGAATTGTCATCAAATAATATATATGTGCATCACAAAATATAATTCGCAATTATCTTATTATTTCCGATAAAGATTTCCAAGCGTTAGACTCATTTTTTTTTTTTTTTTAGTAATATTTTTAATTATATTAAATAATTAAAATAATAATTCAGAAAATCAAAATTGGGTTTATTTATTATATGACCATTTTAATTAATTGTTAAGAATACTTTTGTTGTAAAACCGAGAACGGATATTAAAAGTTCAATAAAATACATCATAACTTTCAAATCCAACATCTATCCTTAGTATATTTACCGCTCGTGACGCGATGTAATTAAAGTTTTAAACACATATTTAACAATTAAGTTCTGGTAAGGCATATGATTGAAAATTTCCATATCTATGAGATTGATTATCATTTACTTTCGCCTGTCTTTATGAAACATATAAATTGCAACATTTTTTAAAGCAACCTGATGAGCTGAACTAACTTAACTAAATCAGTTAAATACTTTGATCTTCGGAAGTTTAATATTAAAAAATTTCATTGCATTAGGAAAATCGGAAACCTGATTGGATTATTTTACAGTATATCCATGATTTTTTTCTTGTTGACCATATTGTGATGTGAGATATAGACAGCATAATTTTTTAAAGATTTAAAAAAAAAAGATAAAAATAAAAATAAAAGGTATTAATTATTAAACTTATTTGTTTTAAATTCTTTTTTTTAAAAAGAATTTGTTGAACATAGCAAGCAAGTGTTAAAATTATAATGTATGCCTATTCAGAATAATGTGATCCCGCGGGGTTTCATCTTACTCTTAATTAAAGAAATAATTTCAAAGCAAATGTTTCAAGATACTCTTTAGATCAAAATGTCATTTAGAGAATACTAAAAAGTTAATCAAAATTTTCTTGGTTTGAAAATCTTATTTAAAGGTAAAATTCCTAAACAATCAAGGAAAAAAATCGAAATCATGAAACAATTTTTGGTTTTCTGATTCATTTTGTTGATTATTATTTCATCAGTCAAATCTATTCTCAAAAAGGAAAAGCACCAAATTTTACGGAATTTAAAAGGAAAAATTAACGTTAACTCTCACATTATACTCGCTTTGGAAAAAACCGAGACCGTTACAGTCAGTCTCTGGAAAGTTAAAGAAATTTATGGCTGATGGTGCCACGTTACGCCTTGGAATTAGTAATGGTGGGACGCGATTTTTAGCGAAAGCGTGCTGTACAAGGAAGTTCTTGTCCTGCTGGTCCTGGAACAAAGTTTAATACACCGGAGAAATTTAATTTATGAAATGACAATACACCTGGACCATTTAAAGTTTTGTTCGTCTTGAAATTGGTGACGAAATTTTGGCCTGTTCCCATGGCACCGTCGATAAATAAATTATCTGGATTTTTGAAACTTGATGTTCTTTTTTATTAGTTTATTTAATTTATTTAAATTTCATAAATTATTTTGAATATTAAATATTTTCAATTAAGACGTGGGTTTTTTTGTCGTTTTTTACAGAAGCCCCTCAGTAAAATTTTTTCAATCAATGATTTTAGAAATTTATGACAATTTAAAAATAAAAGGAATATTAGAAAATTTAAATTTCATATCGTGATAATTTTATTTTTTGAGTTAATATAATACACTGATAATTAAATTTCAATTACAACCCAACAAACCATACTGTATATAATCGCATTTTCAAATTTTTTTCTTTTTCCTATCTATTTTATTAGTTACTCCAGTATTGCTGTTAATACATAATGTCATATACAGGTAATATATTTAATATACATAATGCAAGTGAAAATAATGTCGTATACCTAGAACATATATAATCTTTTTTTTTTAAAAAAAGAAAATAATAATGAAAGTCAAGACCTTAAAATAAATATAACTTGATGCCTTAAAATTCATTCCAAAACGAGTGGTATCTCAAGAGGAATCATGACCATCTTGGTTGAAGAATACTGACTTATATTATATTAATCATATAACTGTTCAATCCATAATATAACTTGTTCCTTATTCTCTTCTTGATATATTGTCCATGGAGATCGTTCAAAATATATCCTTACAGGTCGAGGGAATCTTAACCATGTATATGGTAATACACACATCGATGAAGGATTATCACAATCAGATTTTCTTTACACATCTCTGTTCTTCGTAATTTACTAATAATTTTTATATTTCTTTAAATAAAATGTTAACATTATTTTAGCTCGATCATCCACTCAACATAATAGAATGCAAAGGACTATTTCTTTCTTACCTGATCATGTGCAACTTTCGATCATATCGTTTAAAACACAAGATTTTTCGGTTTTACCAACTTCCATAAGGATGATCCGCATTAATCTTACAACCCACAAATAATTTTCCTCATTTTATTATTTTGTAACAAATAGGTACTCCATTGTTCCAATAACGCATCATTCAATTAATAATCGTCTATACTTGTTATTAACGTTGAAGGGTATAATATTTCAGCTAAACATGTATTCTATTTTATATATACATATATATATATTTTAATTAAAAAAATTAATTCATACAAATTAAAAACATGAAGAAAAAAAAATATTATTTCCTTACCTCTTCAAAACTAATAACGTTAACACCGGTTCCATCTACAGATCTATATCCAGTGAAACTCATGGACCATCTAATTATTCCATGATTCATTATAGGTGAACCCAATAAAAATTACACAACATTATGCCAGAATCCTGCACAAAAGATATGAAGTTTTTTGTCGATGAACATCTATCTAAAAATCGACCGGAAAGGCTAACAAATGCTCCCGGATATAAGATATGTAAATATATTCCCAAATCATTTATGGGCACAAATTCACTATAAATAAAAGATATCAATACAAATCATCAAAAAAAAAAAAAGATAATAATTTTCTTATTACACTCTGTATATTTGTATGATTGTGCATACACAATTGTTACCTCCTATTTGCGTAAGAGAGGTAATTAAATATAATTTATATTTTATTTTATGTAAACGAAAATCGAATTTAAAGAAATAAATAATAAAGTTTTTAATTGAAATAAAAGAAATAAGTTTTTATATAATAAATGAAAAATAAATACAATAAAATTCAACTATTACTGCCTCTTCCGGGTCCAAGGGAAAAGTACTATCTAATTACAAAGTTGTTCAATTCTATCGTTAACTATGTTATGAGCAAAACAAAGCTATTTTATACAAAATTTTCTTCCCATGGCTTTGCTGCGGCATTCTCTAGAATTATCAGGAGACTTGCGGCTTGGATGATGGAAATGCCAATTAATTGATATCTGATGTCAAAAGTGGTCATTTTGACATATATCTTTCATCTTGCCAAGGAATCAAAGGTCAGAAAGTCAATTCAACAGATCCGTCAGAATTGACATTTAATTGTTTACTAGTAGAAAAGATATCTATCAACAGATTAATCGGACTAATGAAAATCGCTTTAAAGTCGATATTATATTATTAAACGATTTTGTCGAGTTTGAAATTCAAAATCGTATAAATAATGGGCTTAGAACAAAAGATGAAAATCGTTATTGCAATCGACTTTCGACTTTGGCGATTTTCCAACTTTCGATTCCAAACCCTAGCACAGTGATTTCATTAATTAATTCCTGCATAATTTATTGCTTAATTCAAATCTTTTGCTGTCTTTTTCATTTGTTTATAAATATAATATAAATTTTTTTAAAAAACATCGTTATATCAGATTATACCGATATTTATATGACCTCAAATATAGTGGGAAAAATAAAATTTATCGATATATCAAGTTTTTAATAGTAGAAAATCGGTATATAGAAAATCGGTATATCGAGGTCCGACTGTATACTTTGTAATAGTATTATTCTATTGTCTATTTTTATTATCTAATTTATTTCTAAAAAAAAAATTTTTAAAATGATTTCAACATGAGCAAAGAAAATTCAGCCTCGTAAATAACCTCAATAATGCAATATTAATTATACTTTTACCCTCGATCCGTGACTGCGTGGAATAAGCCACTGTCGGAAATTTCAGGAGGATACTTCGGACTTTTCTGACTGTTCGAACTTAAGAAGATTCGTATTAATTTGTTCTTTTTGACATCAGGGATACTTTAAATTGATTCAGCCGCAATTAGATGATATTTTTATCTTTTAAGCAAAGGATGTGAAGGAAATTTTAACTATAAAAATACTTCGTTTTACTATTAGTTTTCGGTAGGATTGAACAAGGTTGATTTAGATAGTTCTATTCTCTTTAAAGGCTTAGCTTATTATAGAGCGTCGGTGTCAACGCAACGATTGGCGCAGCAAATGCGATGCATATCAAAAATATGTCTGCTATAGCAGACATATAAATTGTTTTACATATCTTTTTATTTAATTTATCTGTTTTATTTATTATATTTGTTTATTTATTATTTCTATTATATTAGTTTTATTTGTTAAATTTATTATGTCTGCTAGTGAATTAAAACAACGATTTTGTATAAATAGATCTATAGAAAAACAGAGAAAATAACAAGTCGTAAAAGTTTCTCTCAAATGATTTGATTAGACTATTCTAGTTTGTGATGATATGTTTAAAGAAAGGGCTTGTAGAATTCCTAATTAATAAATTTGTTTAGTTTACCTTTTCAATCTTCTTCGTGTCTTCATAAAGGTTTTGACTAACTACACTAGCTAATCGTAATAATTAAATACTACATAAATTATAAATCGGACGAACTAAATAAAAAGTAAAATGTGTTTGTTGACTTGAGAAAGCTCAGTTAAGGCAGTAAATAGTTTGTATTGTAAATTTCTTCAATTGATCGACATTCGCGTTATATTGTACATCGTTCTGATAAATAATTAATTTTAACTACCTGCCTTGAGGTTCACATTTGCAATGCTTTAAGAATAAAGCCTGTGCTGTGATAGATAATTCATACTGACTCAAAAAAAATTATAGAGAAAAAAAAAAAATGAAAATGATAAATTTTAACGCATTTATATTTATATGATAAAAAAATTGGATACCTAAATTTGTATCACAAAGATTTAAATAATGCATAAATTTAGACAAATATCTGAAATATATTAAGACCGACCAAAGACAATAATTTAATATATTACAGTGCTTCAAAAGAGAATTTAATGATATATTTTATTACATAATCATTTTACTTTATTTTTATTTTTAAAAAATAAATTATAAATAAATATCGGGCAAAGTCAGGGAGATCTGTTTGTTATATATAGCTTAATTTAAAAACATGAAAAATGATTAGTTTAAAGAACTTTATATTTCTCTAATTCTTAATAAAATTTATGTCCATTTACTTACTTGTTAATTTGCCTCTAATTCCAATAAAATCTTATTTATAATTGATTTGTAAAGAAGATTGTAAGTCAATCACGAATTGAAGCAAGTTTCGATAAAAATTTTAATTAATAAGAGTTGTATCAAATAGTTAAATTTAATACTAAAATGAGAAAAATAAATTTGCAAAGAAATTTTAATTAAAAGGAAAAGTTAATATAAGTAATTTCATGGGGAGTTAGGAATAATCGGGGTTTTTTTCCCGAAGGGAAAAAATTATTACTAAGTTATACATGATTTATGATGATACTGTATAACAATGAATACTTTTATACACAGGAGCATGTGATTTATAATCACATGTATAATACTCTTTTATATTCGTTAAACTTCCAGCTTTTGGAAACCTTATCAAAAATAGCCAAGTATTGACCTACGAAAGATTTATTATTCCATCCAATAATGATTTACAAACCATTCAAGCTCATTCTCGCGTTACTAATACAGATTATAGTACTAAAACTTGGATGAATCTTCTTAATTCCTATAGAAAAGCAGCTAATTTTATTGCAAAAATATGGATGATCTTTGAAGAATTTTCAAGTAAATAAAATTTAAAAATTTGAATTTTTTATTATATTAATAAAATACATTATAAATTATATAGATACAAAACTAATTCCTTTAAAAGAAAATACATTGAAAAATCAAGGTATTATATTAAATATATATTAATTTTTTTTATACAAATATTTAATAAAATATTAAAAATTTACATATTTTATAAATCGAAATACAAATTCTTACAAGAGCATAAAGAAATTAAAATACCAAAAGAAATGCCACAAATTAATATCGAAAATATTTATATTCATAATTATAATATTGTAAAATTAGAAGTTTTAATTAAAGTACTTAATATAAGTTAAAATATTAAAACAGAACTAATCATTGAAAAATTTTGTTACCATGAAAAAACTAACTAAAAATATCCCGGGAAAAAATATGTTTACATGCATAATTAATAAAATTATGATGTTTTTTATCATAGTGCGACAGGATATAACATTTAAAATTTTCATATATGAAATAATATATTATTAATGCTGAAAAATATTTACAAAAGAAAATATTTCTTATTTTAATATTATTAATTTCTCTTAATAATCTTCTTATTCATAACATGCAAAGAAAATTTATTATCACAGAAGATTTCTAATAAGTTTGTTCAAGAGTTAGA